CTGCGGAGTTGACCTCTTAAGTCCTGGAGCTGTGTGGTGGGAGCGAAGAGTGTGAGGTATTCATTCTCCACTACCCTGACTTTACGCAAAGGGTCCCTTCTGATTGCAACCTGTGCTTCACCATGACAGGGCAGTAGGCTGATGCACCGTCCAGGTGCTGCCACTTCATGTATCACGGACAGCAACCAGGCCCCATCCCGGCTGGCTCGCCCTTTGTAGGCGAGAGCGAGGGTCGGAAGGTTCTCAGCTATCAGGGTGGTCCAGTCACCTTTGTTCCGGACGACGGACCTCTTCAGGTGGGTTCTACACGCTTCGGAAATAGACAATACCATGCCGTTCGAGTTGGCTTGAAGATTGTTACCACCTTTCAGCGTCTCATGAAGCTCGGCGTGGGTAAGCCTTCTCTTGTTGTCAACCTGCCAAGTGTGTCGAATATGCCACACCCCTTTTTCAAGCCAGGTGCCCCAGCGGGTATTATCTGCTGTCTAAGTCCAGGGCTTTCTCTGAAGATTCGTGAGACCTTCACTTTATAAGCCGGTCTCCACTCGATACAGCATAGGGTTTGACGTAATACCTTCTCTTTATACCGCCAGCGGTTTCTTTACTTTAGCCGGGAAGATTTCCCTCAAACTCTTGAGTAGGTGAGGCCAGGGCGCATGTGTCCGAGTCGGGGGCCCTTGGTAGTTGCTGTCGGCTGGGTCTTGCGTTCTGTCTCGAGGTGCCTATGACTTGGCCATAAGCCAGAGGGTTCCCTGCATGTTGGGTTGGGTGGCAAGCCTGGGCATGAGCTTGATGGAGGGCAGCCCCATGGTGTGCCATGGAAGCTCGGGCTTCAGCAGCAGTTTCAAAATCCATCTGGTTCGTAGTGCTTGCATCTGCACCTCCGGGTCGATCACCCCTAGTCCTCCTTGGCCCTACAGGAGCACCACGTAGTTCCAGGCAACCTTCGTATGACATGTCCAAGGGCGGGATTGCCAGTCCACAGAGTCCACAGACAGGCCGTGGCTCGCCTTCGTTCTGAAAGATGACAACAAAGTCCATACTAAGCCCGCATACCACATAATCGAGAAGACCGAAGCGCCGAGTAGCAATGCTTGGGCGAACACAGGTGTGTAGACTTTGGGCCAAGAGTCCAGTTTGGCCAGCATCTTTACCAAAATAATAAGCACTTGAGACACGTCCATCCCTGAAGCGTTTATCTCGATGCCCAAGCATCTCAGCGGTTTAAAACCTGTCCGCCACTGGAGGCCCACTGGTATGTGTGCAATCAGACTCGTTCTCAAACACACTTTTCATGCATGTAAACAGCAACGCAGCATACTGGCGACATGCGCCCACTCAAAACTCAGAGATATGGCTTTCAGATACGAGTTCACTCTCAATTCGACTTCAGCGCCCAAACATTTCACTGTTCACATACACTGGATCACCCTGGATATCCCACACGCATCACTCTAACACTCGAGCACACACGCACACTCACTACTAACTACAGCTATGGCAGCTATGGCTGCCTCTAACCTATCGCTATGCTAACTCCTCCTCTCTTGCCCACTGCATCCTCCGGGCTCATCTGCAGACCTCCTTGCACAAGTCGCTGTGGCAGCACTTCCGCATGGCTCACGCAGGAATGAATSAATGGCTGGGCGCTGCCTCTTGATTTATACTTCAGAAACTCGTTGGTCTGCCCTTTACCATCGGCCCTTGGTGCTCACAGTCCCCCTGTGGTACTTGCTGGACCGGACTGGGACGGACTGGACCTTCTGCTGACTGACTGTGGACTCGCCGCTATCCTACCGACGTTGTACTGCTGTTGCACTGCGGTTTAGTCTACCACTTGCCTCACCACTTGACCACTTGCCCACTTGCCTACCTTCTAGAAGGTCTACAGCTAAGCTTCCGGAACTCACTAAGACTCCTACGCTATAGACCTACAGATCGAACCCCTGCTGCCTATGGACCTACGACAGGCCTACCAACTGCCTACGAATACACAGGTCACAGGTTCAATTCTCGGGGTCTACACAGATACTGTACAGGGGTAGGGTGAGGTCTAGGGATCGAACCCTGGGTACTGCATCCGCTACTGCTAAAAGGTGAAAACCGTTTCATTCCCGCCGTCCTAATTTCGAGGTCCTCCGAGAAAATGCTAGTCCAAGGCGGGACCTTTACCTTTCTTGTCACGTTCATAGGCTCTGACTATGTCGGGAGCAGTCTCTAGAAGTTCTGCTTTCGTGAACCAGCGGTCGTCTTCCCGTTCCTGATAGGCAAACCGGACTTTATACTGTTTCTGGGGACGACCTCTACCTCCTGTCCTAAACACATCCTCTTCTACAATGCCCTCTATGTCATAGCTTCCATCCATATCCGGTGGGATCATGGATCTCCTGGAAGGGAACTGTTGACTAGTGACACACGGTAGCAGCTTTGAAGCATGAAACACAGGGTATGTGTGGAGGTGTGCTGGAATCTCAATGCTGTAGGACGGTCCATCCTCTCCGCC